CGGTCTCGGCTAGTCTCGGTCAGTCTCGGTCTCGGCTAGTCTCGGTCTCGGCTAGTCTCGGTCAGTCTCGGTCTCGGCAAGTCTCGGTCAGTCTCGGTCTCGGTCGACACCGAGACTACCCACACCGAGTCTCGGTACATCTCTATGCGATACTAATGTTGGGTTTTTTCATGCTGAATAGCATTCATCGATAAATATTTGAAATAATTATGGGTTCAGTTATAGACAATATACTGTAGTGATAAACTATGAACTTTGTCTATAAAACTTTCTGAATGTTCGTTAGATTGATCTTACTTTGTTTTTGTCTTCTAGGCAAAAAAGACTACTGAGAAAGAAAAACTTATAAAACTTTCTTCCTTTATTTTTTATTTATTTAATTTTAGCGTGAAACTATTAAAAACTTTCGATTAGCTAAAGTTAATGTTTTAATTGCAACTGCAGTAATTGAAGAAGGTTACGAAATTATTAATATTTTATTTTATTATTAATGTTATAAATAATATATTAGGTCTTGATATTCCACAATGTGATCTAGTTATACGTTTTAATAAACCAAATAATTTTTCATCTTATATGCAATCAAAAGGTCGTGCAAGAGCAAAACAAAATGCATCATATATTCTTTTTATGGATGCATCAAATATTGATGCATACAATCGTGATCAAATAGAATATCAGAATTATGAAGAAATAGAAAAGGTTGGTTCTCTTTTGTAAATCATTATAGATAATTCTTTAAATCTATTATTTTTTTTTCTGTTTAATAAAAGTTGGTATTGAGTATATACCAATCCTATTTAATATGAATAAAATAGATTCTATTTAAAAATTTGATAATTAATTAAATCGATTAAAAGAATCAATTGCACATATGAAAAATGAACTATTTTCTTAGTATATTCGAAATGAGAAATAATCATATTTATTCTAGAAGAATTTTGTATAGCATAGAGAACACTTCGAATCTATATTTTTTTTTCATTGTTTCTATATAAAATTTATTTTCTATTAAAAGATGATTCAACATGGTTTTTCACTAGACGAACATGATGATGATTCTAATATTGATCTATCAGAAATTCCACCTTATTGTCCATCAAATGGTTTAATTATTGATGCAACACGTGCTGCACAATTAATCATGGAGTAAGTAAAAATATTTAATTAAAAATAAATCAAAATTTTTTTCATTAGATATTGTGTACTACTTGGTAATGGTCAAATTTTTCCTCCTCGATTTCTTTTTCATGGTCATACGAATCCATATACATGTATTTTATCAATGCCAGCAAATTGTCCTGTTCGTGATGATATTCAAGTATGTTTGTAAATATTTTCAAAAAAAAAAAAAAAATTTATTCAATTTTTAGTGTACAAGTAAGAGAAAGAAATTAGCAAAATATAAATGTTGTTTAGAAATGGTTAAAAAACTTCATGAACAAGGTTAATCAAATTTTTAATTATTTAAATCAAAATTTATTATTTTTTTCTTTTTTTTGTTTTTCTTAGGTGAATTTAATGAACATTGTTTACCAAATCGAAATCGTACATTATTAAAAATTGATATAAAAATTGAAAATCAAATATTTCAATTAGTTGATGAATTATTTGAAAAGAAATCTGAAAATTCTTTTGAAACATTTTCAAAACAAGTAAAAATTTGATGAAAGAAAAAAAAAAATTTTTTTTTTCCTAAATTAAATTTATTTATTTTAATTAAGATTACAAAATTTCCTTTGAAAACTAATCAATTATCAACTAATTGGCATCTTTATCAAATTAATAATGAACTTGGTTTTGTTGTTCCATATGAATTAATGAAAGTAAGATTAATTTTTTAAAATCATTTATAATAATATTGAATATTTAGTTACCTCGATTTAATCTTTATGAACATGATAAAATAACCATCATAGAAGTTCTTTATTTAAAATCTATTAATTATGAACAATATCAAAATCAATTAAAAGATTTTTGTCAATATTTATTTGAATATGTATTTGATGATATGAATATAAATAAAATTCTTAAATTTGATATTGAAAATTCAACATTTAAATTATTACCTTGTTTATTAACAAGTATGTATATTTAAAAAAATCTATTTTATTTATTTTTATTTTTTCTAATCTTTAAATAGAAACAGGTGATATTGATTGTAATCGAATGAAAATAATTTGTAATCGAAAAAATAAAATAATTCAAAATAATTCAGAATTAAATGATACTGAACTTTATTATCCATCACATTTACCAGACAAACGACTTTATATGCATATATCAGACAAATCTTTATTAAAACCAGCATCAGCTCCATGGGATCAAAAAATATTATCAGAAAATATTAAAACTTATGCAGATTATTTTGAATATAAAGTTCCAAATGTTCATATTCGACGAGATATAAATTTAGTAACAATGAGAGGAGTTAAAAAAACAAGAATAAATTATTTAAAAGAAATATTGATAAATATTGATAAAGAAATAACTGATTCAGAAAGTCAACCGGTTTATTATCCAATAGAATTTCTTTGTTATGCACCATTAAATAAAGTAGATTTAGAAATAATTTATAAATTACCAAGTATTCTTGTTCGTATTTCACAATTATATCGAATTGAACGATTAAGAAAATTATTTGCAGATAATATTAAATATTATTCGGTAAGATTCATATAAATCTTATTAGGAAAATACCTGTTGAACGTTTATTTGCAGACAATAGATTATTGTAAATTAGAAACATAAACTATCAGTATATCGCAGTAGGAACATAATCAATTTGATATATATAATGGTGAATGCATAATAAAACTATGACAATCTTGAATTTATTTCGATTTTTTGTTCGTCGAATAGGTCGTTTCAAGAAAACAGCTAAATTTTATAAAAACCGGACTAAAGGTTTTCAAAATCAAAAAGTTGAAACTATAGGAAATTTGTCAAAATTCTCGAGTTCGATATTCTGGTTCGAGAAAAACTAGTTCTCACGATTTAGTCATGTTTTATCAAACTTAGGAATATTCTTGAAATAGACCACCCTCAACCGAAAATTTCAAAATCAATCAAAAGTCACCATTATGCTATACTTGCATATCTAGGCCGATGATCATCGTTACTGTAGTATCCCTGAAGCTAATCGCTTAGATAGCAAACTATTGCCGACTGATTTTCAGAATACCGATGGTTTGAATTCCATAGATTGTTCCTGAATGTATGTCCTTTAAATATTGAGAGATACATGTGATGTTTCATGCTCTATTGTATAAAAACTGCCTGGAAGTTTATTGAAAAAGTATTCACAAATATTTTATTATGACATTTTAATTCGATTAAGAGTACTCTACCTATTCGTTTGATCGTTTCTGTTTCTGAATGATGGTAAAATTTCTTCTGAGATAAAAAATCGGTCATTTTCATTTCTGACTTTCCTATTCAAATTTACAGAATTCTGAAAATCAAGATTTCGGATTTTTTTTTTGAAATTTGCTGTGCGCCGTCGTAATCAAGTAGGATGTGGCCTTATGTAAAGAATGTTCAAAACTGTATAAACTATAACCAATAAAACCTTCACAATTGTCTATATTAATAGATGAAATCATAAATTAATTTCTTCTAGTTACTCGATAGTGATCAAATGCCAACAGTAACTTTCAATGATTGTCTACGAACTAATACAAATCCATCGGTAAAATTTTGCAAAAAAAAAAATTAAATTATTATTATCTATCAAACAAATTTCTTTCATAGTTATTACCACTTATTCCATTAATCTATAATAATTTATCATTAAATCTATCAAAATTACAACCATCACCTGATATTCTTTTTCAAGCTATAACACGTCGTTCAACTGATGAAAAAACTGATATGGAAAATCTTGAAATTCTTGGTGATTGTTTTCTTAAATTAACAGTATCAATGGCACTTTATCATCGTCATCCATTGGCTAGTGCTGGTGCTTTAACTGTTGAAAAAGCTAAACAAATATCAAATGAAAATCTTTATCGAATAGCTGTTCAAAAACAATTAAAATGTTATTTAAATGTTATGAAAATTAATTTTCGTGGTAAAGATGCTAATTGGCTTCCACCTGGATATATAATTAATGAAATAGAACAAATGAAAAATAATTATGAATTTAATATAAAACGATATAATAATCAATATGTTAAACGAAAAGCATTTGCTGATATGATTGAAGCATTTATTGGTGCTTTTTTAATATCAACAAATTATATAATAACAATAGAATTTATGAAATGGTTAGGTCTTGATGTTATTCCATTAAATGATAATAGTAAGAAATTTTTACTAAGAATTCTTTATTTGAAATTTGTTTTCGTTATTGAATTAGATAATATTATGGAAATACCATCGATTCTTTGTCCATGTAATAAAAATAATGAAATAAATCAAATTGTAGAAAAATTTTATATAGAACAAGAATTTTTTGATATTGAAAATGTTATTAAGTATAAATTTAATAATAAAGCTTATCTTATTGCAGCATTTACTCATCCATCAAGTTTTACTAATCGTCTTACAAATTGTTATGAAAGGTAGAATTCTATGTTTAAAAAAACAAAATTAATTTTCTTCTTTCTTTTATTTTTTTTTTCTACAGATTAGAATTTTTGGGTGATGCTGTATTAGATTTTCTTGTGACACGACATATTTTTGCTAATAATACAAATATTACACCAGGTAAAAATCATTTATATCTGCACATAATAAAATAGTCATTTTGATGCCGTCATCTATTCGTGTTTTTAAATAGCTTTAATTCAATATTAGCATTAAATTCTGTATGAAAGGAGATGTTATGATAAGCAAAATCTTATACATGTATTTCTAGTAGAGAACTAATGTTCATTATAGAGTTAAATAGCAGTGAGCATTTTTTGAATAACTTTTCATAGGAACGAGATAGAGATCTCCGGTTTTTACCGAAGATGCATCGAATTATATATAGAAAGATTTTTCTAGATACTTTCCTATAGGTTTTACATAAAACTTCAAGAAAAACAGCATACTTCTCATGGTCACGATAGTAATTTATTGATTTTCAGGAGTGCGCTACAATCGCCAAAGGAAGGACTCAGAGATGTCCATTGCGGCGCTGCCGCGATGGCCTGTGGCGGCAGCGGCAGCGGCAGGTTTTTTAAAAAATCACCGCGGCAGCGGCGCGGTAGCGGTAGATTTTTTAAAAATCATCGCGGCAGCGGCGCGGTAGCGGCAGGTTTTTTAAAAGACCATCGCGGCAGCGGCGCGACAGCGGCAGGATTTTTTTGGGGAACATTGAAAAACTGCATGAATTTAATAGAATTTCAGGGTTTACAAATGAAACACCCCGAGACTGAATGAATCTGATGGACTAGTACCAATATCTCTGGTCAAATATAGTCGCAGCAGTGAAATTAGAAACACTTTTTTGTAAACCGACGCGGCAGCGGCGCGGCGGCGGCACGTTTATTTGATAATTCATCGCGGCAGCGGCGCGGCAACGTTTTTTTTTATAAGCCATCGCGGCGCGGCAGCGCCGCGGCAACATTTTTTTATAGACCGTCGCGGCGCGGCTGCGGTGCGGCAGCTTTTTTTTTCTAAGGCCGCGGCGCGGCAGCGGCAGATTTTCAGCCGCGATGGACATCTCTGGAAGGACTACAAAACTATATCAAGACACTATTTCTAACTACTACCACTATGATATCCAAACCATCGGAACACAATTTACCACCTCATTTTTTTCAACAAAATAATCGCAAAATGTAAATTTTTGTCGTATTTTGATAGAAAAGTCACTTTTTAACGTAGGAGAAAAAAAGCAATTCTTTGAAAACGTATTTCTCAACAAAAACTGTAATCATGTAAAAAATTGACTTTACATAAATATAGTACTCAATGAGATTAATTCATTGAACAAGTTCTTACTCTTCCAGTATCTTCTATTCTGAGATATTCAGTATTCATAATAAAAGCTAGCTAAGAATTTTGCTCATGCAAAGCTTGATGATTTTTCACGTCACCAAAACTTTTTGTTGAAAAATTCAGTATTATTTCAAGAACGAAAACCATTTTAAATCTTCCCATTATTCACGAAATAAAGATCGTCTTGGCGAAAAATAGCATTTAAAATCTCAATGATCTTTTTTTCAAATTGAGTTATATATGATCATATCAAGGAAATACTCAGTTGTTAATTATTGTATTCCACGTTTATATAGCTTTCAAAAAAGAATAAAGTTGCAACAAAAAAAAACGGATTTCAAATGTGCATTCGTCATATTCTCACTTATAAACCATGATAGATGTAGAGAACGAGCGATTGACTCAAGTCATGACTAATGTGTCGTGAAGAATTTGTCATGGTAACTAAGTCAGTGAAAAATGAAAAAGTTTATTCTGCAGGACTTCTAAACATTTCTGCTTCTAATCTTTTTATTTTAAAATTTAATTTTGTATACTAAATTCTTCAAAGAAAGAAATATTTTTCGAAAATATGATTGATTTTCTTATTATAGGTCGAGTAACAGATATTCGACAAGATTTATCAAATAATGGTCGTTTAGCTTATATCTTAGTTAAATATCGTCTTCATACAAAAATTCTTCATAATTCACCTGATCTATTTGGTAAAATATCATTATATGCTGGTGATGATGAATTATTTCCAAAAGATTCATTAATTGATAATCAACTAAGCAAAGTAAAATATAAATTATTTATTAATAGAAATGAAAATTTTTTTTCTCTGATATTTAGGATATTGATCAATGGGCTGATTCAACAGCACCTAAAGCTTTAGCTGATGTTTTTGAAGCATTAGTTGGAGCAATATTTCTTGATTCTGGTAAATGTTTACAAACTGTTTGGAATGTTATTGAACCTTTACTTCAAAACTATATTGGTATATATTGATAAAATTAATTATAAAAAAAAATATTAATTATTCTTTTTTTGTTTTTGTTTATAAATATCATAGATCGATCAATTACTGATCCAAATTTAAATCCAGTACGTACATTTTTTGAACAAGGTGGAAAAGTTATATTGTAAGTTTTCTTTTTTCTTCAAATATTTGTTTTGTTAATTTTATTTTTAAAAAATAGAGAATCTACTAAGACTGATACTGATAAAGACATTATAATATCTATTTGTATAATTGAAACAGTAAATGGATGTCAATTTGAAGGTTGTGGAGCAAATAAAAAAATGGCAAAAGCTGATGCATGTCGAAATGCAATTAAATCTATGATGCAAAAATAAAATCGCAGATCATTAATTTTAAACGAAGGAAGTTTTTTTTTTTTTCACTTTAGAAGAATGAATATTGTTTTTAATAATAAATTGTACAGATATTTATTTGTTTTTCTTTTACTGTGATGAATAAAACAGTAATTTTTATTTTTCTTTATAATTTATTTCTAATTTTCAAATAAATATATTGTTCAATCGTATGAAATTTGACATGATACATTTATAGATTATATCGTGTTATAGATTGTAGTGCGACTAAAGAAGAAAAATTTACAATTGATACTTTCTGACCGAGTTAGTATATTTTCTCATAAGTAGAATGCTCTGAGAAAAGGATTCATTCAATTAGACCATTTTTTTTCAGAGTTATGAGTGTTGACTTTTCTTTAAAATCTATCAAGAAAGAAACATTGATTTTAATGTAAACTTTTACAACATTCCAGCAATGATAGGATTTATTGATGAACGAAGTTTCAATAAAATGGTCATAAATCTGCAAAGAAGTTATAATTTATCCTAGAAGGTTTCTTCTCCCTTGAGATATAATCATATGTATACCAACAAATGGGCTTGTTAGTATTCTTTTTTTTTTCTCTTTGAAAATATCATTTCTCTGTTGTCGTGCTCACTCGAGAGATTATGTGATCAGATTACATTTAATAAATTAAATATATAATTTAACGAAAGAATTCGTGTACTCTATGATAGTCCTTCCTCTGTTTTATGTACTCATTGAATGCACTTAATCTGAGAATGAATAGATGAATAATAATTTTGAATAGCTCTCATAATGTTATGGAAGATTACTTCTCTTTCAAATAATTTTTGTATAATGCAATAAGATATTCAATATCTAGTTTTATTGAATATTTATGACATTGAAATATATTAGTTTTTCATCATTCTACCGTTTTCTTTTGTTTTTCTGATATATAAATAAAAAAAGATTTTTTCCTTTTCAATCCTTGATACTTTGTACTTCAATGTACTTAAAACTTGACTGTTGAATATATTAGTGTCTGTAATAGAGTTTCTTATTGGAAGCGTTTAGAATAACAGAGATATGATATTTTTAGAAAGCAAAAAAAAGCCTATTATTTGAACATACAATTGTTTGACATAATTGGTAGAAAGAACTATAAACATGCATGCTTGTAAATTTTTCTAATCACATTGGACTCTATTTCTGGTTCAAAAATGATGTCAAAAGTTCCGGAAACAATTGCCTTACCTCCCACGTTCATCATCTGATTAATTTCCGATCTGTGAATTTAATTCTTAACTCTTATATTTTCAACGATGGATAAAAAAAAACAAGGAAATCATTTGTAACATTCATATTACATGAAAAGTAGTTAGAGAAGTATTTTGACTTCTTATTTTAGACTATACATTAGGTAACAAAGTAATTCAAGTAGAACAAATTCTTCTTAACAAGAACATGATGGAATGAAAAATGATTATCAAATCGGCAAATGGCAAAGCCTTTAGAAAATCCAAATCTTAGTTTTTCAACTCTTCCGTAATATTCTTGTATCTCAATCAAGATGTGTCGTAGAGAACTTGGATACGTCTCATTTTGTAAAAACTTGTTTATTCTGTTGTATCACGTAATCTAAGCAAAAGTTTCTATTCGATACTGAAAGACCAGGATTTTTCTTTTTGAGATCAAGATCTGAAAAATCAATTTATTGGGCATCCATTTGAACGTTTTTTAAAATCGCTTTATTCAAAAAATCAAACACGGCAAAAATCATTAAAATTTCTCATAAAAATACTTCTTAAATCTTCTGTAAATTGAATTTTGTTCAATAAAGAGAGTCGAAACATCTCATTTTGCTCTATCCAATAAAACCATTGTCACCCAAATAGTTTTATTAAAGTTTTCATGTGAATCCTTTTACATATTCAAATGTTTTTTTTTTTAGATTCCTACTAGTTATTATTATGAAGAAGAAAAGTAAGAAAATACAATTTCTCTAAACTCTTGTTCACCACTATACATCATTAGAGTGCATATGTTATTAATTTATTCGTTCAATCTTTATGAAAGAATTACGATTTAATTTTTTACATGTCTAACATTTATAAAACTAACTAGGTACTAAACAAATCATCGATGACAAAATTTCTCTCATATGAATAACATATTGTTCATAATATTTTCTCAGAATGATTCATTATTTAAAAAATTTCAATTTAATCTAATGTTTTATTTATATCTTAATTATCAACATTCGTGTTATATGCAGATTAGATATACTTAAATTCTACGATATTACTCAATAGTATTTTCTTATTGAAGTTCTTTTTTTTTTGTTTTGTTTTGTTAATATATAATTATTCTTCAATGTTCATGTCCTTTAATACGAATAGTCATATTTGAACACCAAATAAATATTATTCTTTCAAACAAATAAAAATACACATGAACATAATTTCTTTTTTTTTTAATGAACGTCTTAGTGAATATTATTTCAAATCCATTAATTGTCGTAATCGTTGTCGAAATAACTCCTAGTATAAACAAAGTAGAAAAAAACACAAGAAAAAGTAGTAATCAATAATTGTTATTTGATTCTAAATTGAAATATAATATTTACCGATTGAAGTTCTTCTAAAATATCATTAGGATCGATGACAGGAAGAACTGCTGTTTTATCATTATTTATATTTGGATCCCATAAAATATATTGTTGTGATAAATCATCTGGTAAAGTACGTTTACCCCAATTACCTAAAAAAATTTTATTTTAATAAATAAATCTATTTTGAAAATGAAATAATTTACCTCCATAACATGAATGTCCAAATCGACCACAAAGTTGACTAAGAGCAATTGTTTGAACAGGTTGAGGAAATTGACAAAAAAATAAATTCAAAAAAATAAGAAGACCAATGGAAAAATGAACACGAGTTATAATAATAGACGGTGAATTCATATTTCTACAAATAGTAATATTCTAAATTATTGTTCATTTTTTCTTATATATACGTCTATTGACTTTCTTTTTCTTTTTTCTTAATAACTATTTTTCTTTCGTGTATCGATTCTCTCTGGTCTAATCAATATAGTAGGAAAAAGTATATATTTGCTCATTTACAAATATAAAAAAAATTAGAAAACACGAAAGAAAAATCGTCACCTACACACACAGTACGCATTTCTATTCTCATGAGACAAACTTTTTACTTTTACTTTTTTTTTTTTAAGGTGTCATATACAATGTCTATGAAGCTATTGCAAACTATATATATATAAGAAAAAAAAAAAAAGGAAATGTATATTTAACTTTGCACAACTTCTTTTTTTTTTTTTTTTTTCTTCTATCACGTATATTTGATAAATAAAGACAGGAAATTAAAAGAAAACAGTTCTGTTTGTTTTTCGTAATACAAAACAAAGAAATCAAGAAAAAGAAAAAGATAATCTTAAAGAAAATTATTCTTTTGTGTAACTATACATGTAATAAAAGAAGCATGAAGAAGAAGAAGAAAACACGACTAGTATTTTTCTACTATTTCACATGAATAATAGATATTGACTATGTATATTATAATTGAGATTAGGAACTAATAAAAATAATATGAATTAATCGTATAGCATAGTTTATAAATTCAAGAAAACTATGCATCTATTATTAATAGATAGAAGTTTTTTTTTTTTTTTTACTTGCAAAGTATACATTACAAAATTCAAATATATCTTTAACCTTAGGAATCAAAAAAATTGGCCTTTTTTTTATGCATAGATTGACAAATTTGACCATGATGCTTAACTATTCAGAGGATAATCAATTAGTATATTTATTGAGTTTGGTCGCATTCCATTTTTGAGAATGCTGTACGGTTGATGATCTTTATCTACAGGAGCATCAAAAAACAATTCAAAACATCATAAAAGCCAGAAATTATAGAAGCTAGTCGAAATACTAAGGTTTTGGGTAGCGAACAACCGATTGTAAGGATCGTTATATATACACGATCCGAAACGAGAAAAACAAACTCTATTGGTGTAATTGTAAACAATAGTTTATATAGATTGGTTTCGAAACATATTGAACCTTAAAAAAAAGTGATTATGCCATAACCTACTCTAAAAAAAACTGTTATAGTATGATGTTCTATTCTCTATTGACACTTATTAATTTTTGTAAAGCCTTTGTTCGTCAAAGTCGATGCTGAAATTAAGGCTTCTGAGACTAGCGTTTATGAAAAAAAAAAGGCTTGAAACTGATCACTATCGATAATTGTAAGTGCATTTTGGAAAATTTAAGTTTTTTTTTTCAAATGAGAAAATGATGATGGCATAGGTCTACGAAAAAGAGAAAGAACATTTTCGGATATTCTTCTTTTTCGAACTTCTAAACATCTCTTGTAAAATTCTAAAACATACATATAATAATAAAGAATTTAAAAAAAAAACATTTCGTGAGATAGTTAAAAACTCACTGGAACATTCTCATGACAAAAAATTTGTTATCAGCTTTTTTGTTCTTTTCTTGATTATTACAGTTAGACGATTACGGAACCAATACATAAAAGTTGTATGAAAAACAAAGTCGACAATTTTGTAGAGCTTGATATTCTCTCTCTCTCTCTCTCTCTCTTTAGACATCAAAGAGCATGCCTTTTTTGAGTGAGAAATAAGAGAAAATTACGCATAGATATTTACAGTAATTTCTCTTGGGATACCTCTTATGTTTCTATAATGAGATATTTAAACTCAGTCAATTAGTTATATTATTGAGATCAATTCATTTGTTGAACGGATACATATTATGAGTATTTTATAGTTAGAAGTGTAAGATTTCGATTGAAAATGAATCAAAATATAAGTCACAAGTTTTATTTATAAAATGTTGTTAGAAATTTTAATTCTTTCATGATTGTATAATAGTATAAAATCAATAAAAGTATCAATTTTGTTTGAGTCATAGTTTAATTATCAATGTTTGTAATTCAATACTAAACAACGAAAAGAAGAATTATGAATATCTTAAATTATTTTTACTTTCTATCAGATTGAACAATTATTTTTTTTGAAAGGTCTAATAATTGATATCAGTCAATTATTAATTGGACTACAAATTGAGCTTGGTAAACTTTAATTGCAAGCAACAACTAGATATTGATAAATCTCAATGCAATGTATGTCTGATAAAAACATTGGTTTTTTTTCTATTGAAATCCATTGACCTTTATTGTCATAATATGAATCTTTTCTCCATTGATAATTGTCATTGTAACATTTTCAAAGAAAAGCTTGATTTGACACAGGACATTTACTCGAGAAAATTGCCAGGAAAATGATTAAAATTATCCGAAGATCAGAGTCATTTTTCGACAATTTCCATAAACTTGTATGTGAAGATTATTCACAGAATACTTCATAAACCAAATCGTTTGACATGGAATTTTTATTAATGATAGCAGAAACACTGAGTTATCAAATGAAGGGTCTAATGTCATGAGTATCAAACTATGAAATTGAAGAATTATACATTAGATACTTTTTTGTGACTACGGTAAATGTTCGATTATTTTCTGACTGGCATTCAATCGAAATATACCTATGGTTGTTCTCTGACGGGCAATTATCTACTGAAGGTTTATCATTCTGTATCTAACAGAGGTCAAATTGTCGTGACCTGACCTGATTTGAGGTCAATTATTTGTTTTTTTCGCGAACTGAATTAAACTAATATCGATCACATTTCTCAATCTTTTTTTTCTTCGTCGGAAACTTCATCTCTTCTCGTCCATGATATTTCACAGTTGGAACAGTGCGATTATGCTATATAAATGTTACTTATTTGTCATTCTTCTCTTATGCATATAATTTATAATCTTGGTATCACCATTGAGCAAACAATGCAATCGTTTATATGCATTGATGTTCCATGTCAATAAACAAGAATCATTGAGGTAGAAGAAAAGATTGTGCAACACATAACCTTTTATTTTACTAAACTTTTTCACGTTCTCTCTTATAGAACTTTTAAATGAGAAAAACATTTAAATAATTTCAAAATCTTTAGACTGCAAATTTTGCTTGAAATCTAAAAATGTTTTTCGTAACTCGATCTCAATCGAATATTAATATCATCAATAATGTAAATAAATATGCAATATGATAAGTCAATGAGAAATAGAATTAAATCATTTTTATTGTTTTTCAGTTTACAAAATCAAAACAAGACGTAAGTATTTGTTTACATTTATTTATGTATGGGTTTAATTTTCTAAGCAAATATTAAAAAATCATCGACTAGCGCCATCTATATATCGAATAAGAAAATCTTTGACATTTTTTTTTTGTTAAAATAAACAATAGAATAACTAAAAAGTTTTTTTAAACGAATTTTTTTTTACTATATTATTTGATTTGATAAAAATTAACGAAAGAACCCAAAAAATAAAACCTAATTGGTAGGTCTAATTAGCTTATAAATGGCCCAAAAGAAATAAAGAACAAGAGAAATAAACGAGCGTAACTTAGTTAGTCTTAACAGTCATCATTCTTCATCGTATTTTTGCTGTTTCTGGCATATTCTATGTTGCACAAACATGTATTCCTGCATTTTGGACTTTGACAAAGTGCACACATTACGAGAATATCTTATTGATAGGGGGGGTATTTTTTTTAACATATTTGTCTTCTTCATCTTTTTTTTTTTTTTTATTCATACATCAACACAATAAATCACGCGATAATTTTTTTTTTGTCCTCGTTCGTAAGCTTTGTTTTTTTGCCTTTTATTATACTATAGATCTTTATTATTTATTTCTTTTGTTTCTTTCTTATGTTAGTATCTTTAGTTTGACTTGCTTGTTTTTATAATAAGTGATAGTTGAGAAGAGACTAAACAATGATAATAAATAAGATTAATGTACCCATAAAATTACAAATTATATCATACTACAGATAACTAGTTTAGCAATTTTCGTTACGCATGAAAGACAAACGTCTTTATTCACTTTCTTTTCTATATATTTTTTCTTCTTTTGTATTGTCAAAGTAATATTGTAGCAATACTTATATTAGTCTCTTAGATGCGTGTTTTATGATAGTGTCATTCTGTTTCATATATTTCTTTTGTGGCTATAGTACAACGGAAAAAAAAAAAGAAGGAAGACAGATTAGTGCGAAGTGCGAGAGTGCCCTTTTGTCCACATTAAAGAAGAAGAAGAAGAAAAAAAGAAAAGAACAAGATGAAGGAAATAAGAACGAGCAATGACTGATAGACGTCTATTGCACTAGGAACTTTACCGGTATTCTCGCGCGCAAGTTTTTTACTACAGCCAACTATCAAGATGCCTCGAGCCATTAGAGTATAGTTGTACTGTTCGCATTTTTTTTCCGATTAAAAGGCATTTTTACAAGTGAGAGAGAGAGAACAAGAAAAAAAAATGAGCAGCAAAGATACAAACAAAAAAAAAAACCAGGAGCATGCTTATTAAATAAAAATATATATTTGACTAGCGATATTTTTATTTAAAACCTTTAGGATGTTTACATATGCATATATATTAGTTGATTTCATTTAGATAATTATTGTTTTCAGTTAATTAAAAATATTCAGAAGGTATGTGACTAGGCAACAAAAGACTTACTAACAATCTGTTACTTCATCATTAAAAATTTCTTTCCGTTTCTCTTCTTTTTTTTTTTTGTTTTTACTTAAAGCAAATTAATGCTCATTTCTTTGTTTTCTTTTTTTTTCCCTGAGATTAACGTCCAATCGCCGAAATAAAGATGGTGATATCGGTATATTTGTTATTATTTTTTTTGTCATAATTCGATTTGACACATACATTTCTAATCATTCATTTAACAACAACAATAACAACGCGTATGTGCCTTTCATCATTAACAATTTCACATTCTTGTTCGGCGTCGACTACTGGTACATAGTGATTAGTCTATTTTGAAAATAAA